GGACTGTGACTCTGGAATTAGGAGGTGGCTTCTGCTTCCATTCCTTTTGTGCAGCAGATGTTCTCTGGAGTCTGACAAGTCACAAGGAATTTGCCAACTTTCAAACATTGCAGAGCCTCTCAGAGAGGCTGTAATTGCCATTTCTTGCCAGATGGCAGGAAATACCATATAAATGAAGCATGTACGCACTGTCACGTTGCTCACCCAAGTGTGTTTCCCTCTTTTCAGCGGGCAGTTTTTCTGTCTGTATAGAAACTGATATGTCTATACAGAGGAGATCACTCGGGTCAGTGGATCTTGTTGGCTTTGGTAGAGCCATTTGGTTTTCCTTGGTGGAATCTTAGAGCCATAAACAACTCCTTTAAGCTATCAGATTAATTCTCAATTCTCTTCAGTCTCCTAGATTAAAGAGCAAATGTGTGGGAGGGTTGCAGCCTCCTATTCAGTACGAAGATGTTCACACCAACCCAGACCAAGACTGCTGCCTTCTACAGGTCACCACCCTCAACTTCATCTTTATTCCAATTGTCATGGGAATGATATTTACCCTGGTAAGTGGGGACTCAAAATAGCATCCTCAGCTCTTTCACAGACATAGGGTTTGAAAGAGATTTGTAAATTTAACCATCAAGGAAGAAATCTTTGACGTAGAATGTAAAAAAGACCGCCAGCATACTTGTACATTAGGAACAGAGAAATTCGTGGAGGTTAGTTATGTGTAAGACTGTTTTACTTCTGTTTCTTTCTGTATGGTAAAGGGAATGTTTTTGCATCTCCTGTGTGGTGATCATGAGTGATGGAGACGTATTATCCCAGTAGGGCTAACTAAGCTGTGCTTGCACGAGTACTTTACGTCAGGGCCTTGAAGCGTGCGTATGTGTGTGATGGCATAAGCGGAATGGTCAAAGGTAGGGTGGCCGGCGCTGTCCTTTGTGTGATGACCTGGCTGGTTAAGGCCTAGCCAAGACTTAGATTAAAACAAGAAATACGCCTCAGGAATACTTAATAGTTTTAAAAGTTTTTTAACTGGGTTAACTGGAGAGTTCGTGTAATTTATCTTATGCCCAGAGATATGTGGGGTTCCTCATAACATACTGAAAATAATTTAATTTTTAAAAAGTAAATAAATAGTGTGTACTATGTGTAAAGAATTTAAATAATACAGAAATGCATTGAGAAAGTAAAGGTGATTTAGACTTCCACCATCCTATAACTTTGTAACAAGTATGCTGGTGTGAACATCCACTTTCCCTTAAATGAGTTTGTGTAATTGAGATTATGTTATGCATGCTGCTTTAATTGTAGACACTTTTTCTCCCTCTAGGTTAAGCTGTGTTAATTACCGAGTTATATACTCACACCATTCTAGACAGACCAATACAAAGATACTTAGATACTTAGAGATTTTGTGTTTTAGTTTACCAAAAAATGTGATCAGATGTATGTTTCATGTATCTTGATTGACTTGCTCAACAATATTTCATCTAAACCTCTTAAGTCATATCTCCTATACTTCTGAACCAATCTTTAACCATTGGCATTGATGGTAACCTATGTGTGGATGCTACTTGTCAGGTTTTCTTTAGCATAGTTTAAATATATAATCTAAGAGCTTATGCAAATCACTCTCAATTTTTGTCTTTGCAAAGGTGCTGGTATTAAAACTTAGAGATTACCGGTGGCCTGGCCCAGTGTAAATTACATGTAGACAGACTCATTTAGAGTGAGCTGTAGAATAACAAGGCTGTTTAACTTGGTTCTGTATCTGCTTTTTCTTCCCAGTTTACTATCAATGTAAGCACAGACATGCGGCATCACCGAGTGAGACTGGTGTTCCAAGATTCTCCTGTCCATGGTGGTCGGAAACTGCGCAGTGAACAGGGTGTGCAAGTCATCCTGGACCCAGTGCACAGCGTGCGGCTCTTTGACTGGTGGCACCCCCAGTATCCATTCTCCCTGAGAGCGTAGTCACTGCCTCCTGCCCCGGATGCAGCCCTGAGCTAGGCCAGGCCACTAGTAAGCAGCTGCCAGTGTGGCAGGGACCTGGATGTATCGCTGGTTAGTGACGCACTCCTCTTCAGGTTCCTGGGTTCCTGTTAGGGAAGTAGAAGGGTTGAATCAAGAGGAAAAACAACTGATTTATAAACATTTCAATGTAAAAATTGGTATTTGAAAGGAGAAATTTGGCCCTATTTTCTGCTTTAAATGCATTTGGTGCTATTGAGTTTCATTCTTTCATCCCAGCAAAAAGAAATGCTCTAGGGAAAAATTAACTCTGGAATCTCCAAACAAGGAAATTTCAGCATAATCTTATGGATCAGAGGAATCTTAGAGGCCTAAAATTGTTGCTACTGTTGCTTCCAGTTTAGCTGCCCCTCAAATTCAAGTGAATATTTTCTCTTCTCCCTTTCTCTTCTCCAGAAATAAAGCAGGTGACAGGGTTTTCAGAATCTTAAAAGGTTGACTTGTGTATCTTTCTTTAAAAATAATCTTTGGATATTTATTGTGTAAATATTCTTTTGCCAGTTTTAGATTTTAGGAATTTTTTTGCATGAGATGTAGTAGTGATGGTAATAATTTTGTGCCCTTGGTACTTTACTAAGAACTTTACATAAATCTCTGATTCTCACAGTTCCTCCAGGTAGGCGATAACTATTTCCATTTTTGGTTGAGAAAACTTTATCATTGACCTATCCAAGCCCAGAATAGCCAGTAAATGGCAGAGCAGAATTAAAACCCAGGTCTTTTTGTTATAACACAATTTAAAATGTCAATCTCACTTTTCCTGTGGTAGAAAAAAGGGAGAATGCAGAAAATACAGCGATAAAAATGTAAAAGGGTGAGTAGAGACCTGATTATGATGTTCCTTATCCCTCATCAGCCTAAAAGGGATTTAAGATGAAAGAATCTATTCAGTATGTCTAAGTAAATTGTAAAACAAGCCAAGACAGTTATTGTAGGAAGGATAGTGTATTTTCATTGAATTGCTAGAAAGGCATTTATTATACTGAAAGTTATTTAAATAAAAACACATCCCATGTTAAAACCAAGCTCTGAACCACCAGTACTTAGTGACTACCCTTCCCGGCGCCACCTGCTGCCCCGTGCCTGCGGGAGCCTGGCCCTCCGTCCCTGTAGAAGAGCGGATATCCCAGCAGTCACAAGACCTGCGATCGCCGATGTACGCAGACAGGGATCACGCTGGGCTTCTGTTGTTCCTCTTGCCCTCTCAGTTCTGCCACCCTCTCCTTCCGCAAATTAACTAGTGAGCTAGATACTAGTACTGGACAGTGCCATGAGACGGGGTCAAGACAGTAGTCTACACATATAAATATCTTATGGGGCAGTTGTTATCATGAGCTAAACTGCTAAATCGGTGTATTGTTTTGTTCCTTTCCATCCATACCCCTGCTATTTAAAGACTAGTCTGAGGAAGCATCTGCTTAATACTGCAGTTAACAGCTACCTTACTCACACTGAGGGTGGTACTAAAGCTGTTCATACAGAAAAGAAGCCTGGGTCAGTGAAAAATAAAATGCGGGCCTTTAAAATGGTAAAAGCAAAACATTCCAAGGACAATAAGCACTTTGCAGATGTCTGCAGTACAAAATTGCTGCTCTGATGTGGGAGGAGAAGCGTGGAGCCCTAGTCCTGAGCTGACGATGCCAGGAAGCAGGAGCGAGTTGTCCTGCTGGGTTTGTGTCCCCTTCTAGGAATTTGAAAGGAGAGTGAAATAAATTTGGCTTCATGTGTTCTGACTCAATTTCTGAGTTTTTGTGTCAAACTCCACGAATGATGATGATCTCTTCTGTCCTCAGTATAAAATGAAAAACTTTTGGTAAAGTATGTTATCAATAGTTATTGTAGTACTCGCCTTCCCTCTGCATTACTGAGTGTCTTTTCTAGGTGATCCATGTTTTATTTAGTAAGGTATGTAAAACGTCTCAGATTTTCTTTTGATAAGAACCCCAAACTACCTTGAGAAGAGTTCAAACTTTCTGGACAGGTTAAAAATGACTTTCCAATTTTTACTTCCTTAATATGTACTTTGGTTTTGCTGTGAGGGGCAAATAATAAATTAAGCTTCAGTTTTCACTCCCAAGTAAGTCAGAATCAAATACTTTGGGGTTTTCCTGCATTCTATTAAAGATACAAAGAAACTATGCCAAATGATGACTATGTTGAGGAAAAAATGATATGTGCCACTAATTTCAACTACATTATTTGTTGTTAATATAGATGTGTATGTCTAAAAATATGTACACGTTGCATGTATATAAAAATTCTTCACACTTCTAGCAGTGCTTACTGGATATTGTACAGGCTTTGAGTAGGCACTATGATGAAACTTCACAAACCAGATGGGAAAGATACATTAATAGCCACAGGGACAGGGTAAGGAGCAATTCAGGAAAGTGGAGAGATTCAACTAAAATTTGTTCGGAGTTTTGGCTTTGAGAATGTCTACTATGTATATATAATCGACATTTTATAGTAACAGTGTGAGCACAGCCAGGATCCTGAAGGCGAGTGGCATGATTCATTAAAGTGCATCCTACAGAAATGAGTCTAGATTTCACATTTCTTCACTTAAAAAGTGGGTGCAACCAAAGGGAAAGGAATGGGTGTGTGAGAGTAGATGTGATGAGTGATGAACCATTGGTAGCAATTAAGTGGCCAGCACAGGCCAATTTAGGGATCAAGTGGATTTGGGACAAGGGTGAATACAAGGAGCGGGATGAACCCGGTACCCCACAGGGAAGGCGCCAAGGCACTTCTGGGTCCTAAGGCTTGACCCCTGTTGGGTAAACCCAGTCTCTCACCCACCGCGTAGGACCGAACCAAGATGGCGCAGAGACCAAAGCCGCTTTTTCGTCACCCGGAGCGGGGGCGTGGCCTCGGGCGAATCAGCCAGGCCCCGCCCTCGGGGGTGGGGTCAGGGCCTATCCGCGGAGGGACGGGGCGGGGCCTGGAGGCCCGGCGCTCCGGCGCTGGCGGAGGCTGCAGCTACCTCGGCGCCGGCTGGGATCGCCAGGTCGCGTCAGGCTCCCCCACTCGGGGGGAGACTCCCTGCTGCCTCCGAACCGAGCGGCCGGCCTACGGCGACAGCAGGCAGGTGAGCGTCCAGAGCTGGGGGTGCGCGGAAGGATGCCTTTAACCCCCCCTCACAGTTTCGGGTTGAGGGGGTCTCTGACTAGGGCGTCCTGGAAAACAGCCCCCTTACACTCGGGATATGTGGTCGCCAGCAGTTATCGATCTTGCTCCCTGTGCCGCCCCGTGCTAGCCTTTGCAGTGTCTGTGCCCTTGGGGGTGGGGATGGGGGCGCCGTGCCCGATTTTGGGGAGGGCGTGGAGTTCGCCCTCAGCTCCATCAGTCTGGGAGGAGGGGGGCTGAGTTGGCAAGTCTCCCGGTGGGAACTGGATGGACTGCGCCCCCATCTCCCCTCCAGGAGAGTCTGAGAAGAAGCGCCTCTTAGCTCCTGGGAAGCTCCCCTCTCCTTTGGGCACAAGGGGGATTGAGGTCCTCGAGCGTTCGGGGTCTTACGCTGCCCGAGACAGCCCTTCTAACCATCGCTAGCTCTCCATTCCTAGAACTGCCAGTCTCGGGCTGTGCCAGAAACACCCCCGTCTCCGCAGTGCTAGGGAAGTGGGGTGGAGGAGCGGCTAGCCGGGGTCTGGAGGGGGTGGGGGGAGGGTGGTCGCAACCGGAAAAAAGCTGGAATAGAGGTTTCAGAACTGAGCGCAGAGTGGGGGGAGATGACTTTCTATCAGTGCAGGTACTGCAGGCTCGGCTGGTGGGTGCGAGAGAGGTCGGGTTGAGGACTTGGAAACATGGTGTGGGTGGTTTCTTGGAGGAGGGATGAGGACAACATGCCACTAGGTGTGATGTCACCTTCGAGGAGAGGTGTGCCGGTGGTGTCCATCAGAGGGGCAGGACTGTCAGGGCTGCTGTTCTACCTGGCACAGGGCTGATTAAGGAGTTTGCTTAGCATGGAGGGCCTTCCTGGGGGCAGTGTGAAGGGCCAGGTTATAGGGAGTTGCCTCAGTCTTCCCATAGGTGTTGGAACTGCTACCTCTTACTTTGTTCAGTATCCAGCAAACACTTATCTGGCACCTACTGTACCAAACACCATGCTAGGTGCTGGCTCTTCTGAAGGCAGTTTTGGGTCATGGGGCAGCAGAAAGACAGACAGGAGGCACTCTGTCATCCCCCACCCCCAGCCCCAATGCACAGTTTTGCCACATTGATATTGGAATAGCAAAGGAACCATGTCCACACACTTTCAAAAAGCTGTCAAAACTGGGTTCCAACCCACCCACACCTGGCCAGTGTTAACTGGTCGGGCACTCCCAAGGGAAACTGCCTTAGAAAAAGGAACAATTTGAATGATATCCCCTGGTTATCTTTTAGGACTTTGTCCTGAGGCCTGAGGATTCTGCCTGGGATAAAAGAGTATCTCAAAATAACGAGATGAAGAATAGCACAATGGTTTTTGGGGGGCCAAAAATGCCCTAGACACCGGCATAGCATGAGACGCCATCTCTGGAAGATAAAGACTGTGGGGGAAGGGGGCGTGGAAGGGAAATCTCACCAGTGCTATCTGGGCGTGTGCTGCTGAGCATTCATGATGTCAGAACCTGGAGTGTGTGAGCAGCTGGGCAGCAAGGAGGGCCTGGAGGGGCAGTACCGGCAGCCAGCTCCTGGGTCTCCTTGGAGTCGATTTCTGAAACCATGAGTTGAAGAGTTGTCATGGATTGCTTGTGGGTCCTTTCAGAGCCTGGGAGGATAGCAGGGTGAGACGAGGGGAGAAGGAGCCAGGCTTTGGCAGAATAAGGCAGGGGTGAGGCCCAGCAGGGTCGGGGGAGCTGGGTGTAAAGGGGGTTTTATTTGGGGATACTCCTCCCCTGGGGCCTTAGGTCCCACTGTGTTGGTTGGTGGACGGGTTGCTACAGAAACCAGGTGTGGTATCTCAGTGGCATGGAGGGGTGTGTGTGTGTGTGTGTGTGTGTGTGTGTGTGTGTGTGTGTGTGCAGGTATGCTAAAGAAGGGGTTGGAGTGTGGACAATAGCAGGCTGAGGGAGTGAAAGCCACCTCAAAGTCTAGGTCCCAGGCAGAGAACTGGGAGAAGGGGCAGTGGGGACAGAGGGAGGGATGAGTGTGTATTGCAACCACATGAAGTCACCATCAGCCCCCCTCTGGCCTGCTTGCTCACTGACTATAATTAGCGCCCGAGGGCATGGGGTGCAGGCTCACCAGAGCTGGGCACTCTGGGTGGCCGGTAGACTCACAGGGTCTGAGTGAGGACTAGGGTGCTGAGTGAGGACTAGGGGGGCTGCTTCTCAGGACCCTCACCTTGGCTGTGCTGGGAGGGGCCTGAGGGAACTGGGAGAGTTGTGGGGGCTGGGCTACTCAGGCAGAACCTGGGGACTCCCCTCTTCTTAGCCGCTGACTCACCCATCACACAGGGAGCCAGATTGCTGCCTTGCTCCTTCCTCAGCCTTCAGAGTCCAGGGTGCTGCACCCCCAGTCTCCCTCAGGTGTCTTCTGCCCCCCTGGGTCAAAGCAGTGGTAGCACAGACCAGCTTCCTGCTTTCCAGTCAGGGACTGAGAGGCCTTGGGGGGCAGCTTCATTCTGAGAGAGCTGGAGCAGAAGCTGCCACCAGTTAATTCAATTGGTCGGACTCCAAGTGGCGCTCGGCCTTTACCCCCCAGTGGTGCCAGGCCTGGATGCTCTGTTGCACGCTACACTGTGTTGCTTTCACACCGCTACTTGTGCATCTTTGTTTTCTCAGATAGACTGGGGACTTCTTGAGGGTGGAGACATGTCTTACATGTCTTTTGTGTTACAACAATTCCTGGCTCAATATTGGATGCGTGAAAGTCGACTCAACGAGTGTCTGTCGGATTGAATCGAAGAGATCGGTCTTCTGATTCCCTGGGTTCAACGAAGCGGTGCCTCCTTGCAACTAGAAATATCTAACTGGGAGCGGAGTTGCCCCTGGGGACCCCGTGTAGCAGTGGAACATCTCAGCGGGGAGTTAGATTCCATAGGCCATAAAGTGAACATTCCCAAGTCTCCCATAAAGCATGGCATGTGGGTTTCGGTTTCTAACTCTGCGCACTAATATTAAAATGCAGATAGAGCACACACTATATATCAATTACATAAATATAGAATGTGTTCAGTGATTTAAATGTGTATATAGAAATCATATTTCTATATAATTATATTTCTGTAATGTAATTTTGTAGTTATGTGTCAGATAAAATAAGTGGGTTGCGTTTAGAGGCCTTCATGCTTATTTTGCTCCGTCAGCAGAGTTGAATTTCTCATAAATTAAATGCATGTCCTCATTGCCTTCAGACAGATGACTTATTTCAAAGGGGGAAGAGGTTTCCGTTCAATTTAAGAAAAAATCTCCTTGGAGAAGATGTCTTAGTTAGTTGTGAGCTCCTTGTTCCTAAAGGGGAACCCACTAAAGGCTGAAGTGTCAGAGGTCTTGTGGAGGGAAGTCCACCAGGTTGGCTTCTGCCACCTGAGAGATGGCTTCCGGGTAGGAATCTGCAGTGGCAGGGGAGGGTTGTGGGTGGGGGTGGAAACCGGGCCGTATTGCTCCTTGGCAGCTCACCTTTGGCTTGGAGGAGATACCGAGAGTAGAAGGTGTGTGGAGAGAGGTCAGGCCCGGCTTTGGCCTGGGGATGGTCCGTGGGAGTGGGCTTTCGGGGAGCTTCAGGGAATGACCGAGCCAGCTCCCATGAGCACGGTGTTCTGGGGTTGGGCCGCCCCGGGACGCAGCCAGCCTTGGTGGACGTTGGTGAGTAGAGAATGGGCTGGGCCCAGCTCTTCCACCTCAGCTCCCACCATACCAGTTATGGGTACCCTCAATTTTGACCCCTGTTTGGGGAGAGCAAGTAGAATTCACCTTCTTCCATTACCACCCTCATCCTTCTCGCTCTTGCACTTTCTCACAGGTTCGGGACGATGCGTGCACTCACGTGCTTTCATGACCAGTGACATGTTTTCACACTCACACTCATGCGGAAGCTCTTGTGGCCCGTGTTCTTATCAACATACATACGTTCATGGACTTGTAGTTTTGAGAATTTTGATTCTTCAAAGATGTACCTCTGACTTTGTTTTTTTTCCTTGTCAAACAGTATCTGAGGACGAATGTAAGACTAGTGGCTTTGAATAGCAGGTGGCTGAGGTTACTGTACTGAGTGATGCGATTTCAGCCAAAGCTGTGTGCTGGGTTCAGTGGCGCTGCCTGATCCCTTGGCTTGTGTAAACATTTGATCCCTGCTAGTCACTCGGCGTGTGGAGGACAGCTGGTGGGCCCCAGGGTCACCTGCGGGCTCCCCAGATTTGTGGCTCCATTGCACTGATGTGCTGCCTCCTGTAGAGAACATGTGCTTATATTTTAGTAGGGGCCTCTGAAGCCAATTCGTAACCCAGGGATTTCCAACCTCTCTTTATATGTTGAGCCCTTTGATACAATGGAAATCTTAATCAGATGTCCAGTAAAATCGACAGATTTGGATTTGGTGAGATTAAAGGAAGAAAAGGGAGTTCAAAGTCCTGGCATTTGTCTCCCCACTTGTCCCTTTTCATCTCAGTCTTTCTGGGGTGCCTGAAGGTACGCTGTCATCAAGTCCTGTTTGCAATCTCTGCCTTGACTTTTTCTTTTTTAAAGATTTATTTATTTGTGCATACAGAATTGGGGTACAGGCCAGAGGCTCAGGGGCGGCGAGAGGCTTCACCAGAGACAGAGTGGGGAACAGAACAGGCAGATCGAGGAAGTACACTGCTGAACTGCTGAGGGGAGCGGAGCAGCGGGTGGGTCAGGAGAGGTCTGCCACACCATGTGGATCTCCTCCGGGCAGCAGGAATCGAACTCATGCGGCTTTAGATTCTCAGTGCTGTGCTTTAACCCGCTGCGCCACCAGGGAGGGCCGCCTCTGCCTTGATTTAAAGAGCTAGTTGGATGGCTATTAATGCGGAGTATTTCAGAAGAGGAGTGCTGTTGGAGTTGTACAGACTTCTTGTCCTCCTCTCCCCACTGACCTTTCTTGCCAGTCCTCCTTGGGTGGCAGAGGGGAGGGTGGACATATGGC